GGACGGGGCAGGCCAGCCATGGCTTCTCCCCAGGTCCTTGGCCCAGAGAGGGCAGTGCTGGCCCTGCCCATGATGTCACAGCGGGATGGGGCCTCTGCTGCCACTGGAGGAGGGTCTGCTCCATGGGGGGGTCTGTGGCACCATGTCTGTGGCATGGCCAGTGCAGCACCATCTCAGCCTTCTCCCCTCTCTCTGCAGAGCTCCAAGGCGGTGCAGGGGCTGACCGGGCTGCGGAACCTTGGCAATACGGTGAGTGTGCGCCCAGGCACCACGGCCCCAGCTCACCCCCTGCACATCTGTGGGGCAGGGGGAGCCCTGCCCCTTCACCTCGCCCCCCAGCACGCACTCTGTTACCCTGGCAGCTCCCTGCACCCCACTTCCTGAGGAAGAGCTTCCCCTGCTCTGCACTGCTCAGTCCCCATCCATCCTCTGCCCACCCACCCCAGGTGTCCCCCTGCCACCGCCTGCCTCCCTCTGCTTCCCGTTGCCATGGTTTTCTCTTCTGCCTCCCCCAGTGCTTCATGAACTCCATCCTGCAGTGCCTGAGCAACACCAAGGAGCTGCGGGATTACTGCCTGCAGAACCAGTACCTGCGGGACCTCAACAACAACAGCCGCATGCGCACGGCGCTCATGTCAGGTGAGTGTCCATCACAGGCTCCTGGGGGCTGCGGGGGCTCCCCTGCAGCACAGCCCTGCAGCACAGCCCTGCAGCACATCCCCTTCCCCCCGGGATGCCCCAAATCCTGGGGGACTCCCACCCGGAGGTCGGTGCTTCTCCCCAGCCTTGCTGGGGCAGGCGCTGTGCTGTGGGTGCTCAGCCAGGGGCAGGATCAGGTCCAGGGACCCCCAGGTGGGGTGCTGAGCTCTGCCCTGGGAGGGGGCACAGCGATGCCACGCCAACCCAGCTCGCTGACCTGCCTCTGTGCCCGCAGAGTTTGCAAAGCTGATCCAGCTGCTCTGGACCTCGTCCCCCAACGAAAGCGTGAGCCCCTCCGAGTTCAAGACGCAGATCCAGAGATACGCCCCCCGCTTCGTCGGCTACAAGTAAGGGGGGGTGGGTGCAGGGGTGGTGGGGGGAGTTGAGAGCTGAGCCCCCCCCTGCTGCCGCTCACCGGCAGTGCCCCGTGTCTTGCAGCCAGCAGGATGCACAGGAATTCCTGCGGTTCCTGCTGGACGGGTTGCACAGCGAGGTGAACCGCGTGCTGGTGCGGCCCCGGGCCAGCACGGACAGCCTGGACCACCTCCCGTAAGTGCTGCCTGGGCTGGAGGAACTGGGCAAGATGAGCCCAGCCTAGGGACAGCGACCACACGGGTCTCTCTGGGCTGGGTGGCAGGGCTGGCATCCTCCAGGCCATGCTCACTCCCCTCCCCGTGTCTCCCCACCCCTCGCAGTGACGACGAGAAGAGCCGGCAGATGTGGAGGAGGTACCAGGAGAGGGAGGACAGCCGCATCAGCGGTGAGCAGGGCTGGGGGGAGAGCAGGGCAGGGCAGGGCTGGGAGCTGGGCTGGGAACCAGGGGTCTCACCCTGCTCTGTCCCACCCCTCCAGACCTCTTCGTTGGGCAGCTGAAGAGTTCGCTGACCTGCAGTGAGTGCGGCTACTGCTCCACCGCCTTCGACCCCTTCTGGGACCTGTCCCTGCCCATCCCCAAGGTGAGGGATCCCCAGGGGATGACCCCTGGCCCCCTGCCCCTCACTGCCTGTCCCTGACCCTCACTGTGCTCCCACAGAAAGGCTACGGGGAGGTGACGCTCATGGACTGTCTCCGGCTCTTCACCAAAGAGGACGTGCTGGATGGGGACGAGAAACCGGTACGGGGCAGGGGGGCTTTCCTGGGGGCAGGGTGGGCACCTTTCCCCCTGTGCCTGTGTTACCAGCACTGTGGGGCTCAGGGGAGACTGGCCTCTGCCCTCACCCTCTTGCTTGTGCTGTTTGTCTCCCACAGACGTGCTGTCGCTGCAAAGCCAGGACGAGGTGCACGAAGAAATTCAGCATCCAGAAGTTCCCCAAGATCCTGGTGCTTCGTATCCTCTGGGCAGAGGGATGGGGGTATAGGGAGTGTCTGAGGTGGGGGCAGGTGGTTTCTCACGGGCTCCCCTTTGTCTCTTGGCTCCTTGACGTGACCCCCCTCCCCAGACCTGAAGCGCTTCTCGGAGGCCAGGATACGAAGCAGCAAACTCACCACCTTCGTCAACTTCCAGCTGAAGGACCTGGACCTCCGGGAATTCGCCTCCCAGAGCTGCAGTGAGTCCCAGTCCCTGCACTGCTCCTGAGCTTCTGGTGACTCCCGTGTTCCCCGTGCTCCCCAGGGTGTCACAGCTGTGTTGGGGAGCAGGGTTTTGAGGGGTGGGAGCCACAGAATCCAGGGGATCCAGCCCCGTGCTGGCATGCTGGGGGGCAGCGGGGCTGAGCAGCACCTTTGCCCCCCCACAGACCACGCCGTTTACAACCTCTACGCTGTCTCCAACCACTCGGGCACCACCATGGGGGGACACTACACAGCCTACTGCAAGAGCCCCGTGTCCAGCGAGTGGCACAGCTTCAACGACTCCCGGTGAGGCTGCCGTGGGGTGGGGCAGGGCCCCCCTGCTCAGGGGGGGGGATCCTGGGGCCTCGTCCCTGTTTCTCACAGCTCCCCTCCTCCCCTCTCTGCAGCGTCACCCCGATGTCGTCCAGCCACGTCCGCAGCAGCGACGCCTACCTGCTCTTCTACGAGCTGGCCAGCCCGTCCTCCCGCATGTAGCCAGCCCTGCTGCCTCCCTGGGGACCCCTGTGCCACCCCTCAGAGGCAGGCCCTGGCCGTGTGGCCCCCCAGGTGCAAGAGGGAGGTGAAGAGGAGAGACCCCCGAGGTGGCTGCAGAGGGAGCAGCCAGGAGCAGAGCCCGGGCACGGACAGCCCAGCTGCAGAACTGAGGAGGGGCAGCTCATGGCAGGACAAGGCTCAGGCAGCCCAGGCTCCTTCTGGTTGCTGGCATTTCGATTTTTACCTTGGGGGTTTAGTTTCTTTTTTTTTTTTCCTTCTTTTTCCTTTTTTTTTTTCTTTTTTTTTTTTTTGGTGTGTAATAAAAATCCAGAGCAAGGGACTCTACGGGAATGGGGCCGCCTGTCCCATTGACTCAGGCCAGGACCTCTGCTGCCCTGGGGCAGCAGCACCCAGAGCTGGGGACCCAGGAGAGCCTCACACGTCCCTCCTGGCCTCTTGGCACTCCTGTATCTGCTTGGCTATCCCAGAGGATTGGTGAACTGCTCCCGACCTCCTCCTGGCACTTCCAAACCTCCTGGCAAAGGACTCCGGCCCTCCAGTTGCCTCCGAGCCGTCTCAGGCAGCACCTCCCCAGCAGCTGCCCCACACAAACACTCCTCACAGCAGCCTGAGCTCAGGCCCAGACTCACGGACAGGAGGGAGGAAAACATTTTGTGGAATTTATATGTATTTATAGTGGACTTTGCTTCACCTGGAGCACCCACCCCGCCGCTTCCTGCCTCTCCAGGGACTGGTGTCGGGGGATGCCTCGGGTAGGTTTTTACCTGCCTCCTCATACGACGGTGCCTTAAACCATTTAGGGGAGCGGGGGGCCATCGGGGTTGCACAGGAACATCCGTCCTGTGGAGGACAGGGAGGGGAGGACAGTGGCTTTCCGGGACCATCTGCAATTGGGGCTTTTTCCTCCCTGTGATCAGGAGCCCCCCTGGGTGCCGGGGACCCGCCCTGCTGCTCCGTCCTCCAGCTAAAGCAAATGCCAGTGGCCTTTTTAGCCTTTTCTCTAATTTATTTGCCTCCTCCCCGTCCTGCCTCTGCCTGAGGTGCAGTGGGAGGAGGGACAGGCCCGACCCAGCACCATCCCAGCCCGCAGGGCAGCTACATCCAACCCAGCACCCGGCTGGCTTCGCCCTCTCTGCCCTGCAGGCACGGGCTGAGCCCTGGCATGAGCACCCTGCCCAGCCTGGGGCATCCCAGCAGGGCTCAGGGAGGGCAGGCCAGGCTGGGGGGGCTGCCCGGGGCAGGTACTGGACTGGGGCAGCTCTGCTGCTTGGCAGGTGGCTTGTTTACTGTGTAAGCAAGATGGGTGGGAAGTGTCTCATACAAGGGAGACTCGTGCGGGAATAAATCCGAGCTTGAAAAAGAGTTCTCTGTGTGTGTGTGAGTGGCGTTCTCTGGGAGGGTGAGTGGTGGGTGGGAAGCTGCCACCAGGGCTGGAACAGCCTGGCTGTGCATGGCTCTGGAGGCCCAGCAGCCCCCATGGACCAGGAGCACCCATGTCCCCTGGAGCAAGGGAGATGTGTGTGCAGGTGGCAGCCCCTCCACTCCAGCTACCTGCAGTGTCTGGGGGCAGAAGGAGCCTTTCCAGCCCTGCAGTGCCCAGACTCTTTCCTCAAAGCCCCTGAACAATGGCCCCTTTCTCCCCTGCTTAGGGCCCAGACGGGCACAGAGGCATTAAGGGGTGGTGTTAATGCAGGTGGCTGGGCTCAGGCACCCAGTGAGGGAAGGAGGGACACGCTCAGCCTGGGGTCCCCAGCAATCCCCTCAGTGCTGCCCTCAACAGCAGGGAGCCCAGAGGCAGCAGCCAAACCCAGGGTGCCCCTGTGCACCCAAAAGCAGGCTCCCTGTCGGGACAGGCTCCTGGCAGGCTGGGTGAGAGCACACATTCCCCTTTAAGACGCTGGTTCTCCTTGCCAGAGCCTGACCTCGGCATCCTCAGCTGAGCTGGATTAACGGGGCGAGGGGGGAAGGGGCCTGCAGAGGGGACTGGGGCTGCTGCCTCCCGGGGCTCCCCACACTCCCGGCACGGCAGGCATGGCCCTGGGGGCTCTGCAGGCTGCGGGGCTTTGGTGGCACCTGTAGGCACAGCTGGCACTGCCACCGCCTGTGCCCGGTCCCCATAGCGCCCCAGGGCCCATGGGGGCAGCTGGGGAGGAGCGGGGTGTGGGGCTGGGAGCTGAGCTGGGGGGCACGGAGTGCTGGGGGTGCTTTTAGCCAGCCAGGAGTCGCCCGCTGCCATGAGAGACTTCACCGAAATCACGCTCTGCCCTGAGGCTCTGGACCACAGCAAGGTAGGGCTGGGGGTGCGGATGCAGCTGGAGGTCCTCACATGCCCACCCCTTGGTGCCACCTGCCTTTGCTCTCCCACAGACCGAGTTCTGCAACCCCGTCTTCGAGGGCGAGGAGCCCCGGGCAGCCCCGAGCCCCGAGCATCCTCCAGACAAGGACGGGATCGGCCCTGCATCACCCCGGGATGGCCTCGGTACCAGCCTGGGGGTTTGTACGCACCCCTCCCTGCCCGCGGGGCTGGCAGCAGCGGGCTGGTGGGCTCTGGGGCTGCTCAGGGGACCCGGGAACAAGAGGAGGGGACGTGCCCAGGCAGGGCTCAGCCAGCCGTGCAGGGAGGTGGGGGCACGGCTTAGCAGCACCCGGGCTCTGCCCGCTGTCCTCGCCTTCCCCGCAGGCCATCAGCTCTGGGGGCAGGTAGGCTGGAGGTACCGCGCCGACTGCAAGTTCACCTGGCTCTGCGTGGCTCTGATGAGCGCCATCCTGCTCTTCCTCATCGCCCTCCTGATGGGCATCGTCATCCACCGTGAGTGCCCGAGCAGGGGGGGCTGGGGGATGGCTGTGACTGTGGTGGGGGGGACACACAGAACTGGCTCAGAGGGGAAAAGGGATGCTCAGAGGACATCCCAGGGTCTGCTCGAGGCTGGGGGAGGGTGCCCCCACACACAGGAGCAAGGGGGATCTCCACCTCCCTGGGATGTGGCAGGACCACCAGCCCCTGGGAGAGCTGCGTGGGATGCCCTGGGAACTGCACCCCGGGGCTGGGTGGGCTTCCTAAGCCCCTTCCCTGCACTGCAGCCACCTCTCCCTGCCGGGGCTGAGCAGTCCCTGCTCTTCCCTGGGCACAGAGCTGACGTCCCCACACCCACCCGGCGCCCCAGCCACAGCCCTGCCCGCCCGTGGCACGGCCACCACCACCACAGCACCCACCCGAAGGGACCCCCCAGCCCCCAAAACAGCTGCCACCCCGACGCAGGGCTGGGTGCCCACAGCCCGCACGGCAGCACCGGGTAAGTGTCCCTGCGTGGGGCAGTGTTTGGGGACAGGGGTGCCCTGCACCGGCTCATGCTCACCCTGTTGCCCCGTGCAGCCTGTGGAGGGACCCTGCGGGGCCCCGAGGGCTCCTTCAGCTCCCCCAACTACCCCGGGCCCTACCCCCCCGACGCCCTCTGCATCTGGCGCATCGAGGTGGGCCCTGGCCTCGCCATCCAGCTGAAGATGGAGACGTTCAGCGTGGAGGGCACAGCCTCCTGCCTTTTCGACCGTGTGGAGCTCTATGAGGAGCAGGGTGTGGATGCTGCCCCGGCTCGGGGCGGCCCCACCAGGTAGGACCCTCACACTGGGAAGTGTACGGTTCAGTGTGAGGGGCAGTGAGCAGCATCAACCCTTGCTGTGCCCCCAGGTTCTGTGGCAACGTGGCCCCCCCAACCTTCAACTCCAACTCCAACCGCCTGCGCGTCACCTTCGTCTCCGACAGCAGCGTGGGCGCCCTGGGCTTCAGCGCCCGCTACCGCGCCGTGGCCCCCAGTGAGAGTGAGTACCCCCACCCTGGGCACTGCCAGGGCTCCTGGCTGTGGGGAGAGCCATGGGAGTCCCTCCAGGAGGGGACAGAGCCTGGTGGGATCGCCCCCCATCCCGGGTTGTCTCTGCCTGCGTGCAGAGAGCTGCGCCTGGGACGAGCACTTGTGCGACCAGGGGCTCTGCCTCCACCTGGGCTTCGTCTGCGACGGGTTCCACGACTGCATGGACAAGAGTGATGAGGCCAACTGCAGCCTGAAGCACAAAGGTGGGTGGGACACAGCCCTGCCTGCAGCCCCCAGCCCTCAGCCGCTGTGGCTGGGGAGATGGAGGGAAAGGAGAGGGTCAGGGGTAAAGCTGCATGTCTGTGTGTCCCTGCAGAGTGTGGGGGGCCACTGACCGCCTTGGAGGGGCACCTCTCCACTCCAAACCATCCCCAGCCATACCCACACCAGCAGGTGAGAGGAGGGATGGAGGTGGGAGCAGCGTGAGGGTGAGGTTGGGCAGGAGGAAAGGCAACCTCCCCCCGGGGAGGGCCAGGGGTGTGCCCCTGCCCGGCTTCACGGGTGTCGCCGGCTGCCCCCGCCCCGCAGCTGTGCCTCTGGCAGATCTCAGTGCCCGTGGGCCACGTCATCGACCTGCACTTCCACAACTTCAGCCTGGAGTCGCACGAGGACTGCAGCTTCGACTTCGTGGAGGTGCACGACAGCGCGGGCACGGGGGCCGCCAGCCTCATGGGCAGGTACAGCCCACCCTCCCCAGTACCTCCAGCCCCGCTGCATCAGCCTGGGGGCACTGGGCTGCCCTGCCTTAGCGGGCAAGCTGAGGCACGGGAGTGGCTGGTGGGGAGGAGCAGCCGGAGGGCAGGGGTTTGGGGAGCTGCTGGTCAGCCCATCCTGACCCCATCCCTCACCTTGGCAGGTTCTGTGGCCACCAGCTGCCACCCCCCCTGACCTCCTCACGGCATGTCATGACCATCCTCTTCGTGGCGGACGAGGGAGTAGCTGACAACGGGTTCTTTGCCACCTACCAAGCCCACAATGCCACAGAGAGTAGGTAGCCAAGGGCACAGGATGCCCACGGGGGCTGTGCTGTCACTATCCTTGGGGGTCTTCAAGGCCAGGCTGGATAAAACCCTGTAAAAAACTGCTCTTGCCCCAGAGCTGACCCTGCCTGGAGTAACAGGTTGGGCTACAGGCCCACAGGGCCTGTTCTCTGAATTACCCTATAACCCCATTGATCCTAGCGGTGGGAATGTGACCTGGAGGGGCTGACCTGCACAATCCATCACCTGAGGGCTGCCCCTAAACAACCCAGGGAATTTGGGGTCTCCATAAGCTGGGCTGGTGATAGTCACCTGTCAGACCCCCTGCCCAGTGATCAAGAAGAGCAGAGACAGGGGTGGCGAGCAGGCTGACTCCCACCACACCCGTGCCCTGCCACACTGGCCTCTGTCCCCTTCCAGAGACGTGCAGCCCCGCGGAGTTCTCCTGCAGGAACGGCGAGTGCCGGGCGCTGGAGTCGGTGTGTGACGGCTGGCACGACTGCCCCGACGGCACCGACGAGCTCAACTGCACCGGGGTGTCCTACCCAGCCTTCGGTGAGTGCCACTCAACACTCAGCCCCCTCCTGAGCCCCCCTGGGGCAGGGGACAGGCTGGCACACCACTGCTGTAAGGACTGAAGCCCCTCGCCCTGTGGCAGGGTCTGTCTGCGAGCCCGTGCACGTGGAGATGTGCCTGGGGCTGGGCTACAACGCCACCTCCTTCCCCAACATCTGGCTGGCCATCCCGGACCAGGAGGGAGCTGCCGAGGTGCTGCAGGACTATCAGGTGAGCCGCGCCCGCGGGGCTGCCCCCGGGCTGCATTCCAGGCTCCCGCACGGCATTCCCGGCTCACCGCGGCTCTCCCGCAGACGCTGATGGAGCTGCCGTGCTTCCAGCACCTCCGCCTGCTCATCTGCAGCCTCTTCGTGCCCAAGTGCACCCCGGACGGGGGGGTCCTGCAGCCCTGCCGGGCCGTGTGCCTGGCGGCAGAGCTGCGCTGCAAGCAGTCCCTCGGCCTCCTGGGCATCCTCTGGCCCATCAACTGCAACATCCTGCCCGACTCCAACGACCCCGTGGAGTGCTTCCAGCCCTGACCCTGCAGGGGATGAAGACACCCTCCCCACCCCAAATGTCCCACCCCGTCCTCCTCCTGGTGCGAATACCCAGCTGCTGGGGTGGCCCCCACCTGCAGCTCCCCTTGCCTGGCTCCTCACCTGCCCTGGGTCAGGCCCTCTGCCCACAGAGAGCAGGTGACACATCCCCCAGGGAAAGGCCTGGGCTGGAGGGGCTGTGCTGGGGGCACCAGGGAAAGGGTTAATGCTTCCCAAACGGAGCAAGGCCGGGCAGAGGTGAGCCAGGCTGCAGGAAGAGGAGCCCAAGGCTGCCCGTGTCCTGCAGCCCCAAAGCCAGCAGAATAAACAGCTTCAGCAGCTGCCAACCCCAATGAAACAAGTGGTTCATTTGGGGAGGGTCTGTGTGTGGCTCCTGCCAGATCCTCAGGGAAACTGAGGCGTGGGCCCAGGGTGGGAAGCCAGGGGGTGTTGAGCAGGAAGGGAGGGGCACAAGGGAGAATGGGCAGCTGTGCCCTCACTGGGCTAGGGGCTTGCAAAGTCCCAGAGAGATGGATGGGTATTGGAGAGGGTCATTTTGGTGGCCTCATGGTGCAGGGGAGGGATCCTGCCTGAGCAAGAGCTGTGGCCTTTCTAGTTGAGCTGGCTGTGCTGGCTGGAGGCCACCCTGATGGCCACAGTCCTGGCAACACCCCACGGCCACAAACCAGCTCCCAGCTGGCCAAAAACAACAGTCCCTTCACACCTTGGGAGAGAGGAGCCAGGCGGTTCCCTGCCAGCACCCAGCCTGGCCCTGGGGCACTGGGGTCAGGAAGGCTCAGCCAGCAATGCCACCACACTGCTGTGGGCACTGGAACAGGGAGGAGAGAGCCAGCAGTGCTTCCTGCTGCCCTCACCTCTCCTGAGCATGTGGGGAAGTCCCCAGCCCGGCTGGGGTCACTGGGAGCAGGACCCACCAGGGTCAACCCCGCTGTGCCCTTGTACCCAGCACGGCACCGCCATTCCCACACGGCTCAGGGGCCTCGAGCCCGCCTGGTTCCTTCATTCCCTGCATGTTCCACTGGCTGTGGGGCACGGGGACTCCCCCAGCCACGGGACTGCCCCGCTGCCCGGCGTCTGACCGTGTCCCTTGGATGCACTCGGCTCTGGAACAAGTTAAAGGCAAGCTGGGAGCGCCCTCGAAAGCTTCCCCACGTGCTCCACGGTCCCCTGAGGGCCAGCCCTGCCTCCTGGCACGGCCACAGCGCTGCTCTGCCTGCGCTTCCACCTGCCCTGCCCGCTCAGCCACCCCCTGGATGGCTCCTGCAGCTCCCCATGGGTGATCCCGGGGCTGGCACTGCCCTGCCATTCCTCCTTGCCTTAGCTCTGCTCCCAGAGGCAGCCCCAAGGCTGTCACTCAGGAGACTTTCACATCCCGAGGGCTCCCTCTTCCTCCCAGTCTTCGCTGGATTTCCCTCCCTCAGCCTCTTTCTTGTTCCCTTTCCCCCCCACTGCCTGTTTTCCCTGTTTTCCCTCCCCTCCATCCTGCTGCCTGGGTGCCCAGATGTGTTCAGTGGAGGCAGTTTACAGCCCCTGCATCCCCTCCCTTGTCCAGGCTGTTTGCCTCGCTCTCCCTTCCCCCTGCTCACAACACTCCTGACACCATGGGATTGTTTTTCTTCTTCCCCTTGTCTTGTAGCTTTTGGCTCCCAAGGCCCTTGATTTCCTTTGGAGTTTGGGAGGAGAGACGTGAGGAGGAGGGGGGGGTGGAGAGGCTGACTCTCCCAGGGCCTTCGTCAGAGCGAAGTGGCCGGGAAGAGCCACAGCCCTTCCAACCCAGGAGAGCAACGAGGCACCGGGGCAGGAGCTTTGGGACCGCAGTGAGTGGGGACACCCAGCCGGGGGCAGCTGGGACTGCCTGAATTCCTGGCTCCGGCGCCTGGGCGGAGAAGAGGCACTTTTTCTCCTCCTTTTCCTCTTTGTTGCAGTCGTGGAGGGGGGAAGAGAGAGCAGCTTTTCTGGGTCGAGGCCACGGGGCGGGGGTAGGGGGCCAGCTCTGGCCGCGGGGCTCTGTTCTCGTGGTGGGAAGGGATGGGGGCAGCGGGGTGGTCCCGGCACCGGGGTGGTCCGGGGATGCTGCAGCCCCCAGGGAGCCGGGCGGGCGTGGAGCGGAGCCGGAGCCACCGGGATGCTGCCAAGGGCCGGGCCACGGCACAGCCCCGCGCTCCCCGAGCTGCCGCCCCACCACCCACCCCCAGATGCAACAACCCCACCCACTGACACCCCTCAATCCTCCCTGCCCGCACCCCCGGAGCCAGGCAGGATACCAATGGGGTAGCATCCACCCTGAACAGCCCCCAGCCTCACCCACAGAGCTGCCCGTGCTGCAGCCCCCTCCCCAGTTCCCTGTCCCCAGCACCCCGGGAGCCCCCCCGGGCCCTGCAGGGTGGGGGGATGGCACACGAGCCATGGGGATGCTGCAGCAGGTGCAGCTGCAAGGAGCTGCCAAAAAGGCAAAGGGAAAAGAAGAGGGGAATGTCCCCTGCTGACCCCCACACCCACTCCCTGCCGAGCACTGCCAGCCCTCTCTGCTGAGGTTCCCAAAGCCACGACCCTTCTCTGTCTCTTCCAGGCCCTCAGCAGCAGACGAGATGAAGCAGCTCTTCATCCTCCTCCTGCTCGGGCTCATCACCAGCTCCTTGCAGATCGAAGACAACAAGATCCCCGGGCTGTGCTCAGGGCAGCCAGGAATCCCAGGGACCCCGGGCCTGCACGGGGGCCAGGGCCTGCCAGGCAGGGACGGACGAGATGGCCGGGACGGGGCCATGGGGATGCCCGGAGAGAAGGGCGAGATGGGCCCTCCTGGTAAGAAAGGAGACACCCCTGCTGGGGAGGGGGATCTGCTCTGCTCTGCTCTGCCCTGCCCTGCCCTGCCCTGCCTGTGGGGAATGCCCTCATGCCAGGGAGTGAGTCCTGGATGCTGGCACAGCCCCACGTTGCCAGACTGAGGGCGAATCCTGCAAAAGTGCCCCTTCCATGCCACCACCACCCCTCTCTGGTCCTGCCTGTAGTGACTGTGCTCCTGTGAAAGGCAGCAGCTCCCTGTCACTGGCAAATCTGCATTTGTCTCCGTCCCCAGTGTCACCCTTTTCTTCCAGCCCTGCTTTAGGAGAGTACACCAGGAACAGGGCTGTATCATCCCTTCCCTGGCTCCTAGGGTGGGTTTTCTGCCAGCCAGTGGGCTTTCTCCAACAAACCGTTGATGCTGTGCCAACTTATCTCACACGCCCAGCCCTCCCCACTTGTGCTGCTTCCCCGGGCAGCACCCCAGGTGTGGCGGGTGGGGTGTCTGGGGGAGCTCGGGTGGCGGTGGCAATGTCCTAGAGGTAACCCTGTCCCCCTCCTGCCCGCCCAGGAGCGCCTGGCCCCCGCGGGGAGGTGGGCAGCCCCGGCCTGGACGGGCTGCACGGCGAGAAGGGGGCGCAGGGCGAGTGCGCCGTGGCCCCTCGCTCGGCCTTCAGCGCCAAGCGCTCCGAGTCGCGCAGCCCCCCCCTGCCCGACCAGCCCATCCTCTTCGACGTGGTGCTCATCAACGAGCAGGGCCACTACGACCCCGCCTCGGGCAAGTTCACCTGCGAGGTGCCCGGGCTCTACTACTTCGCCGTGCACGCCACCGTGTACCGCACCAGCCTGCAGTTCGACATCGTGAAGAACGGCCACACCGTCGCCTCCTTCTTCCAGTACTACGGGAACTGGCCCAAGCCCACCTCGCTCTCGGGGGGCACCCTGGTGCGCCTGGAGCCCGAGGATGAGGTGTGGGTGCAGGTGGGAGTGGGGGACTACATCGGCTTCTACGCCAGCGTGAAGACGGACAGCACCTTCACCGGCTTCCTCGTCTACTCCTACTGGCAGAACTCCGCCGTCTTCGCCTGAGCCCGCCCTCGGCTGGGGATGTGCCCCTTCCCAGCCCCCTGCGTGGTGGCAGCGAGGGTACCGGGACCCCTGCCCTGCTCAGGGTAGGATTACAGCCCCTCTGCCATGCCGGGGGGTGGCGGGGAGCACCCCTCGAGCTCACTATTATCTCGGGCACCCGGCTCTGGGGGAGCCCCCACACCCTGGTGGTGCGGAACCCACCGCACGGTGCCCGGTCCCTGCTGCTCCCCAGGCCGGGTCTGCGGGGCCAGGAGCCCCGTCCCGCGGGTCCTGCCCCAGCCATTCCCTCAATAAAGGGCTGCTCAGCCACGCGTGTGCCGGCTGCCTGGGCGCCCTCGGGGGGGAGGCCACGTCTGGGACGTGGGACAGAAGGACGGGCACGCGGTGCCGGGGTTGTCCCCGCAGAGCCAGCGGGAGCCACTAGATGGTGGCAGCGGCGTCCCTGAGATGCGGTAGCGGAGCTGAGACAGCCCCCGGCGCCTGCCCGAGGCTCGGGAGGGGGGAGCGGGGCCGGAACATCCCTGGTGTCCCCCCTGAGGACAGACCCCCGCCGGGAGGGAGGGTCCCGGTGCCACCAGGGCCACCCTGGGGGGAGTGGGCATGTCCGGGGCCAGCAGGGACCCCGCTCCGAGGAGGAGGGGGTGGGTACCCTTCTCTCCCCGGCCGGGCCATGCGGAGCCCCCCGTGCCCACCCCCCGCTCCAGTGTGAACGCGCTGACCCGCGGCTGGGAAAGGTCCCTATTTTTAGCAGGGGAATGAAGAGCTTCCTCATTCCTGCCCGAAATAGGTCCCTGCGGGGACCGGCCGGGGGAGGGGGCTCTTGGCCAGCGGCCGAACCCCTTGATGGTCTGGGAGCGGTGCCCTGCCGGGGAGTGGGGTGCCAGCTGGGACCGGCACTTCTTCTGGCCATCCCTGCAGCGCTCAGAAGCCCGGGACCCCCCTACACACCCCTCCCCTGCCGCAGATCCCCACTGCCCCCCATCCACGCTGGATGGCCCCCCAGCAGTAGTGCTGTGCCTGTCAAAACGAGCAAATCTGCATCCCTGCTCGGCTGTGTGGGCTGGGAGCTGGGACAGACTGGCAGCAGCCGTGGGGCCACATCTCTGCCCCCG